TGCAGGATCCACTGGGTGAAACCAGCTGGGCTCCTGAACGGGATGGGGACTTGGAGAACTTTTATATCTAGTCGGAGGATTGTATGTGCACCAATCAGCACTCTGTGTCTAGCTCAGGGTTTGTAAATACACCAATCAGCACTCTGTGTCTAGCTCAGGGTTTGTAAATACACCAATCAGCACTCTGTATCTAGCTCAAGGTTTGTAAATACACAATGAGACACGACTTCACATCCACCAGGATGGCTATAATGAAACAGACAATAACAAATGCTGGTGAAGGAGGTGAAGAAACAGGAATCCTCATGCATTGCTGGTGGGAATATCAAATGACACAGCCTCTGTGGAAAACAATTTGACAGTTTCTTAAAAGATTAAACATAAATTTATCACACAATGCAGCAATTCCATTCCTAGGTATCGAAACAAGAAAAATGAAAACATATGGACACAAAGACTTGTACAAGAATGTCCATAACATTAGTCATAACAGCGCCAAACTGGAAACTACTCAAATATCCACCAACTGGTAAACGGATACACAAAATGTGATATAACCACACACCAGAATACTATGCAGCAATGTAACGGAACAAACTACTGATATGTGCTATGACACAAATAAGCTTCAAAAACATGTTAAATAAAAGAAGCCAGACAAAATACCAGCATCGTATGATAAACGTCCAAAAAAAGCCAAACCATGGGGACAGAAAATAGATCAGTGGCTGGCCATGGCTGAAAAACAGAGATTAACTGTCAACAGGCACAGAGGATCTTACACTGTGGGTGACGAACAGGTCTAAAACTGGATTCTGGCCATAGTTGTGCAACTTGGTAAATTTACTACAAATCGTTTTATTGTACATCTTAAATAGGTGAGTTTTATGATGTGCAAATTCTGTCTCCAAAAAAAGCCATTATAAAAGAGAGAGAGGGCTGGGTACAGTGGCTCACACCTGTAATCCCAGCACTTTGGGAGGCCGAGGTGGGTGGATCACTTGATGTCAGGAGTTTGAGACCAGCCTGGACAAGTGGTGAAACCCATCTCTACTAAAAATACAAAAATTAGCTGGACGTGGTAGCGGGCACTTGTAATCCCAGCTACTCAAGAGACTGAGGCAGGAGAATCGCTTGAACCCAGGAGGCAGAGGCTGCAGTGAGCTGAGATCGAGCCACTGCACTCCAGCCTGGGTGACAGACCAAGACTCCATCTCAAAAAAAAAAAAAGAACGAGAAAAGAGACAGAAGCCACTGAAAGATTTTAAGCAAAGTGGGAAATGGTGCAAATTTTAAAACAGCACTATAAAGAGAGGTCATTGGCCAATGGTATATGTTTGGAGGTGAAGGGCCCAGTGGTCTCTACCCAACTCAAACCCGAGAGAGACAGAAAAACAAGAGCAGGCTGAACACACTGAAATTGAAAGCTTGATGCAAACACAACCAAGATAGAAAAAACTGCCTTCAAAACTATCCTCTGGTGCCTTTCCATTTTTCTAATTCATGGCACATCAATCCTTCCAAACTTACCAGGCTTGGACAGGCAGAATCGGTTGACTCCTTTGGAGAGGTTATAAATCCCCACATTCTCACGTCCATTTCCATCCTGATAAAATTCCTAAGGGACCAAAGCCAATACAATGACTTACTAGGAGAGATGGAGACACCAAGATGATTAATAATATTTCTCTTTCCAAACCAGTCATCTGTTTTGCCCATTAATCATCAGAGCAGTTGGGGGCCACAGGAAAATTAAACACCTCCCACAACTTCCAACGAAAGTGTGCTATTTTTCATTCAATCAACTAATATTTATTGAGCGCCTGCTATGTGACAGACACAAGGCTGGGCCTTGGGAGGCACGACCATGGCTCCTGCTCTCACGGGGCTTATGTTCTAATACAGGAAGACAAAATCAATGCGTCAACAAATAAATTAGTGATCTCAGCTGGTCAGTAAAGAAGCTGTGAAAATAAACAGGAAAGCAAGAGAAGAACAATCCCTGCCTAGGGGTCTTTAGCACGCTGGTCCTCAGGGCACATCTCTTCTGAACACTAGGGCTACAGCCTGAATGAGGAGGAAAAACCAATGACACGTGTTTCTGGAGAAGACACAGCATTCCAGGCAGAGGGGAGAGTGTGTGCAAAGGCCCCGAGGAGGCAGTGAGCTTGGTGTGGGACTGGAGAGGACCACTGTGGCTGGGGCCTGGCGACTGAGGGGAGAGTGGGAGGAGATAAAGAAAAGGTTAAGGAAGTGTCAAAAGAAAAAGAAAAAAAAAAAAGATCTTATTACAAGGGAGTTGGAAATTCACTCCACTGCTGGAAGGGAAACGTTTCCTAAGTATCTAAAACTTATTATGAACCGGATATTTATCTCCTATAACAAATCAGCCCGTCGACTTTTTGTAATTAAGCAGTTAGGGGAGTAAGCTGGCACATGAAACACCAGTTTCAATTCTTCTAGTTTCTCTGCAGAGAAACTAAGACCTGCCAATGACATCTGCCACTGCTCGACATCAAAGCATTATAGAAAATTCATGACGGGATCAACCTAGGTGCTCCTGAAGCCCATTTCACACTGCCTTTCAGGCCACAGAGACAACAGTCAACAAGAGACTAAGATCCTGTTTACAGCTCCATCCTCTGCGCTGGAATAAATATACCAGAGAAGGTGGGGCACAGTGGCTCACACCTGTAATCCCAGCACTCTGGGAGGCCAAGGCGGGTGGATCCCCTAAGGTCAAGAGTTCAAGACCAGCCTGGCCAACACGGTGAAATACAAAAAAAAAAAAAATTAGCTGGGCATGGTGACACGCACCTGTAGTCCCAGCTACTCGGGAGGCTGAGGCAGGAGAATCACTGGAACCCGGAAGGCAGAGGTTTCAGTGAGCCAAGATGTGCCACTGCACTCCAGCCTGGGCAACAGAGCGAGACTCCATCTCAAAAAAAAACACAAATATATATATCAGAGAAACTCACTTGGCAGCATCTTAATAAACAAGAGCAGTGTACACCAAGGACACTTTGATACCTAAGAGGGTCACTTAAGCCCTGCCATAACCCTGAGAAGTAGGTATTAAGATCTCAATTTTCGGTGAAAACTGAGGCTGAGATGAAGTAAATGAATTTACCCAAACCTATTATTACTAATAATATAAAGACAGCGTGCTCTGTACTATACCAAAGGCCACCCCGAATCACCAGTCACATTTAATGTGTGGCCAGGACAAGGAAGTCTCCTAAATACAGGGGTCCTTCCACTGAGAGATTATAAATGCTTCCTGCTTATGCCTTGCATAACAGGTGGGCGAGTAGAGAGGCAGAAAAGGAAATCTGACTTGACTACGTTTACAATATTCCTGGCATGTTAGTCTTTCTTGATACCCACAAGGCAAGCGTTTTTCCAAATAAGAGACTCCGTAAGTCATACATACCAGAGTGATGGCGTGAGACAGGGAACATCTCAGCATGTAGCCCGTCTGCCTGAACTCAACTGCAGACACGTCATCCTCCAGCACTTCCACCTCCAGGCTCTTGTTCTTCCAGCACCAATCCTCATGCATGATGCTTACTGCAAAAGCAAACACCAAAAACAGACACATGGGCATCGAGCACACCACCTCCCTGCACACCACCAGAAACGATGATCATGAATTAACTAACTTTAAAAAGCGGTGTGTATGTAGACATAAAGATAGAAATATACACACATATATATATTTGTAACTAGCAGTATTTGGAATAAATTACTGCTAAAGAAAACCTGGAACCGAGCGTGGTGGTTCACGTCTATAATTCCAGCACTTTGGGAGGCCAAGGCAGGTGGATGGCTTGAGGCCAGGAGTTCAAGACCAGCCTGACCAACATAGCAAAACCCCATCTCTACTAAAAATACAAAAATTATCCAGGCATGGTGGTGCACGCCTGTAATCCCAGCTACTCGGGAGACTGAGGCAAGAGAGTCTAGTGCACCCAGAAGGCGGAGAGGTTGCGGTAAGCCAAGGTCGCGCCACTGCACTCCAGCCTGGGTGCCAGAGGCTAAATTTCAAAAAGACAAAGAAAAACTGGAACCAATGTCCATTACATCAAGAAAGAAATCCAATGTGTCCTGTAAGATTAGGCTGCAAGTAAGGTATTCAGGGATCCACAAACTGTTTCTGTAACTCTTTTCTGCTTTGCAGGCCACATGCTTTATTGGTCTCAAACACTTGACTTGGCCGCTGTTACACAGGAGTGGCCATAGAGAATCCATAAACAAACGGGCAAGGCTGTCTTCTAAGGAAAGTATGCTTATAAAAATAGGCAGTTTTTGGAGTCTGCCAAGCCCTGCCATAACAGAAAATATTAATATAATTCCAGAAAAAGCAGTCTGTTTTATAAGCTATCCACTGCCAGCAGCTCCAAGCTGATTTCTGAAAAAGCAGAAATACAGGCAAGAAGTGGTTGAGAAGGGCAAGGAAAAGGGAAGTAACATTTGTGGGCACCAGCTACTTAGCCGGCTCTCTGCACAACGGGCTCTATAAACTTAACTTTAGTCTTATATTCTGCAGAAAGGTTCTATCATGTCTATTTTACAGATGGGAAAACTGAGTTTCAGGAAGGTCAAGTACTTTGCCATGGTCAGTACTCAGCACCAGTACTGGTGCTAAGTTAGTAGAACACATCAGTGGAGCCATTTCACACTTCCTTTTTCTGGCCTTTAGAACTAAAATGCCATACATTGAGCACCCTCCCTTAACAGAAGCAGCCAGTGGGCTGTGCAGACAAGGTGGCGGTCAGCTCAGGGCCTGGACTCCTCCAGGCTTGTCCAATGCTAAATAATGCAGTCAAGGTCATGAGGCAAAGACGACTTAAACAAGGAAAGGTACATGGTTGTGATACAATTTGAGACCTGGGTTTTAGAAAGTTTACAAAGACGAGAAGTGTGGGAGGGCCACAGGATGTTGCATTCCAATTCTTACTTTTGTATTTTCCAGGGAGCACGTTGTCAAAGGTGAAAGTCATGGAGTTGACCTTGCCGGAGAGCTGGAGGCTCCGCTTCTCACCCTGGCGGCTCAGGGACTGCAGAGTCACCAGCAGGTCACCACAGGTGTCTGCAGGAAAAAGAAGGGAGGGCCCCATGTGACCCCTCACAAGCTTCATCACAGGTTCGAATCCTAACCCTGTGTAATAGCGTCTTGCTACTGCTGAGCTCCTAAGAGGCAGTGGCAGGAGGGCTTCTTTCAAACTAACACGCGTCCACTTGACCCCAAGAAGCCTCCCTCGCATGCAGGTGGTCAGCAGCAAACAACAAAGGCAAAAGGAAAAGTTTCCCAAATCCCACCCCTACCTACTGACTTCTTTGAAACTATGTGTTCTTACTTTCCAGTGATATCTTACCCAAACAAGAGACTTTCCCGGAAACGGATGCCAAGAACTGTACAAAGGCCACATCCATCACGGGCCTGTCGGTCACAGTAAGAGGAAACATCTGGGGTTTCAGTGTCAGCCCTGCTCTGGTCTCTGCCTCAGGAACCATCACCTGCAGAAACGTGGATGGAATGTTAGAGGCTGCATTCGGCGGGATCTTCCCCCGACCTACAGGGCACTAGAACATTCATCTGGGTCCACAGCTAAAGAGATTTTGAAGGCCAAAGGTTCATTTCCAGGCCGATTTTACAGTCACAACAAATCCATGAATAACTCATGTGAAGGAAACACAGTTCTACCCAGATGAGAAATTAGCCTCAACAGACCCACGTGTATGAACAAAAGTCTATCTGGCCTAATTCTCCACAGGCACACAAAGCTGACCTGCCTCACTTACATACTAGAAACCATACTACATCCCAGTCTCTTTTACCGGCTTCGGATCACTCGTACTGTAAGCTCTAAACCTGTCAACACTATGTGGATGACACTTTGGTAGAATTAAGTCATTTTCTTCTTCCTATTGTCCTGTGTGCCTTTCATGGGCTAAGAAGAGGAACAGATGAAGGGAGCAGCGGCCAACTCTTTCATCCCTAGTAAAGATGACACTGTCCTTCCTTGGAAAAGTCCATCACGCTTCCGAAAGGGCTTCCAAAGGCTTGTCAATGTGGACATCTTCACAAGAAGCCAGCTACCATCTAATAAAGGCAGCTGTCAACCCACATGCCATGCTGTTCTGTGGAAGCAGGGAGAACGCAATCTCCTACCCTGTTTCCCATAGAGGGAGGGGCCCCACTCTGCCCTA